AGCCCCGGGCATCTGGTGCCACGTCAGCCCTAGGACTTTTGCTTCAGTCGTCCAAGTTTAAGGAGATGATGGAGATGACTTCCGCCACTGATTTGTCGACGCCGACGTCGGAGGCTGAGTTGCTGCCGTGCACATTTCCCGATGACATTCAGACCTACTTCGAGTGTGAAGATTCCGGTAGATATGGAGAAGGGGATGATATCATGTTCAGCGAGCTCAACAACTTTGTGCCCCCCATGTTCCATTGTGATGACTTTGAGTCTTGAACTAAAAGATATTGTTTTGAGTTCCTTTTGATTTAGTTTTTCACTGGTAACGTAATTAGGCTGATTTCTCATAGTTTGTGAATATGGAAGATTTATTTGTTGATAGTGAGACACTGATCAGAGAAGAACAAGAAGAGGTTTTTATTGTTTGGGAAACTGATGTTGGATTAATGATCATGGTCGGAGGAGGATGCATGGCAAGTTGTTTATTTGTTGTAGTTGTAAAGAGAATAAGCATCTCGAGAAAGAGCAAAACAAAAGATGCAAAATAAGCATATTTTATCATTTTTATTTTCCTTTCATGTTCTTTTTTAATCTTGTATCATCCCCTTAAAAATCATATAAACAAATTCTTTAGCTTTCTCTCGTATTATTTTTTTTTAGTTTTTCTTTGTGTGAAATTTATTTTAAATTCTTTTTAATTTTACAACATTCATATGGATTTATCCATTGGTGTTATTTTTACAACAAAATTTATCTATGAATATAGCTTTAACTCTCAAATCAATAAGAAATATAAGATAATATATGAATAGAAAAAGTAAATGAGATAGAGACTTTTTTTTTTTTTTTAATATGAGAATGAGCTCAAGTGAGTTTGTGGTTTACTAATAGAACAAAAAAACTTAGTGACAACATAAATATAACAAATTTTGTGTACGAAATATAGTTGTTGCAAATTTGGATGTCATAAATGATTAACTCTTAAAAGGAGATGTTGAATAATGTATTAAATAAAACAAAAAAAATGATTGAGAACCCAAACACTAATATATAATTGATTATATTAATATATAATATTAAGATTTGTTATTGTATTAATATCCTTTTTATAGCATATTACCTATATCTTCATGTCTTTTTCTCTCGGAGCTTCATCTTCTTTATATTATTTTAATTGATCTACGTGAAGTAAGTTTTATCATTGGTACGTGAAGTTTGAGGTCTGAACAGTGCGAGAAAGGTGTTTGATGAAAACTTTCTATGTTGTTTATATTAATAATCATGATATTGTGTTAGGAAAATACTTCTTTTTTAGTTTAAGATATTTTTGAGTTGATTTCACATATATAATATATTTGATTGAAGTTAATAATTTTAGTGTCTCAAATTTTGTTATTTATAAAAAGGAAATGGCTAAAACAAAACTATTTTTTTTTTAAATATTACATTTTATTTTTATTGTATTTTTAACTGATGTAAAATTATTCTAAAGTTTTATATATATTTCAATAGTATAATGTTTTATTCTAAGTCCTAGGATTTTATCATTACTAAAAGAATCATGACGTATAATTCATATCTAAATAGAAAATATTCAAAAACATAAAAAATCTATTATAAATCTTTGAAACACACGTTTCATCTCAATTAATCTTATAAACAATGGTACTTAAATTAATGCATGAAATGAATGATTTTCTCTATTCCTGCAATTTCTGTTCTTTTGATAAAGGCATATGGTAACATGGGTACCCAATTTTTTAGGTTTATGCCATCTCGAAAGAATGTTGAGAACTTAATGCAAAGCACTTTTATGCTGTGAGTGATTTGTATCTAACATGGCACCCTAAAACTACAGAAGAAGACAACAAAATTGTGAAACTTGCAAAGGATCCAACAAATGCAATATCTCTTTTACACATTTTGAAACCAAACATATGTATTAGGTCCCTTAAACTCAAACAATGTTTATCTTAGAAATAGATAAAATGTGATAAGAATATGGAAAATACGAGTCATGACTTTTCAAATACTTAAAATCTCACCTATAATTTATTCAAAGTCTCATTTAAGTAATTAGTGTAATAGTATTATAGAATATGGAAAACTTCAAGTGTAACTTGCCAATTACTATGGCATGTAGAAAAACAGAAAACAGAAAACCAAAATCATATGATTATATGTATTATAAGGCCTAATATATATTGAATCAATCAAATGTTTAATATAATAGTATATATGACATTTTCCACTTTTAAAAAAAAATATTAGAATGTGACATTGTGATTATATGCTCTAAATTCAAATTGACACATGAAAATAATTTATACTCAAAATATTACACTTTTAATAGATGTCTTTTATATTAATTAAAAACAATTTTTTATATTCATTGAACAATTATTATAAATTATGCAAATATATAAAATGAAAACTTATATATATATATATATATATATATATATATATATTTTTTTTAAAGTGATATACAAAAATAAAGTTAGATTGAAAAAAAAGTCAATCCATCATAATTAGATTGAATTATAAACTTCACAACGGATTAGTAAATTAATATACGTTAATATACATATATATATATATATATATATTAAAAAATATAATTTTAATTATATGAATATTTTTTAAATTTTTATTTATTAATTAATATTTTTTTAAATATATTAAAAAAATTACTACATTAGTCTTGTAAAATATCAATTAGAATTAATATTTTAAACTTAATTAATTAATATTTATAATTTAAATTATATTATTATAATATATTTGCATGTTTCAACAATATAATATAAAAAATATAATATTTTTAATTATAATTATTTTAATTTTACTATATAAATATTTTTTTAAAATAGTCTATCCACACTGTTTTGACCTGGTTGATAAATTATATAATTAAACTATTAATTTATTTTATATTCACATCTCGATTAGACTTAATTTATTTTAGTATCTGAATATGAACTACTAAATTAATTTATATAAAATATTATTTTTTTTAAATAATTTTTGGTGGTTAATTTTTTTTCCTAAAAAGTAGAATAACGAGAAAATATAAAAATTTATAATTTTAAAATAAAATTCAAAATAAAATCACTTCATAAACAAAACACAACATTGAAAATCGTATTATTAGATATAATCCCCTTGAAAAAAAATACACTTCATATCTATAAAAAAAATAATTAGATATTTGAAAATTAATTTTATTTAGACCATAAATTATGAAGATAAGTGGGAAGAATAGAAAAAAATTATAAAAATGCCAATCTAGGCTAGGCTTGCCGCATATGTAATCCCATAAGAAAAAATAATTTATTAACTTTTAAATTAATTTTAACTTATAAAAAAAAATGCTATTTTCAGTTTCTTTCTCTTACATAAATTCTTAATTTATATATATATATATATATATATATATATATATATATATATATATATATATATCATTATTTTAAAACCAAGTTGAAATCATCAAAGAATTTTGTCGGTGTGTTAATTATTACAGACACATAACAGTATTATTTAAATTAAATACATATCTACTAATGTAAAACCTAAAGTTATTGAAAAATAATACTACAAAAATTGTAAATTGTAAACTCAATGTGCAGAATCTAGGTTACTAAAGTGGTTAAATTTAATTCAGAGATTACGATGATAAAAGAAAGAAAATTAAAAATATACAAATACACAAGTAAATAAAAAAAAGACATTAATTTAATGTGGTTAAGGTGGAGAATCTTCTTTAATTGCTGCAATTGAGTGAAACTGCACATTAAAGCAAAAACTTTAATCTCTTCTCCTGATGAGTGGTGTAACAAACACAACCTCAACAACCACTTGTTTATGCCGTGCTCACGTGACTCCAGTGGCTGCTGTTTTATCACTGGTTTCCATCGATCAAAATATTAAAAGCAGACATGCCTTATGCAACGGGCAAACACTTTTCTTCTTGTGGTTTTTCCTAACATAGTTCTTGTTCAAGTGAGTTCAAATTTCAGAAATGAAAAGGTTGAATATTTTTCAAGTGAGAAAAACCCTAAGATAATATTTTAAGATTTTGAGTTAAAAATAGTATAAGGTGATTTATGTTTCATTTATGAGAATCTTTCTGATAGGCTGAGTGAAATATTTGTATTACAGGAACTTCACTACAAGAATACATTACTTTTGTTTTTGTTCTACAATCCTGTAAAAGTTTCGTTGAGTAATAATGAAAAGCAGAGGGATCAAATGATCAATTAGTGGCATCGTGCCTTCCACAACCCACCAAATTTTCCCTTTAAAAAAGTGTTTGGATGCTCAGGATTCTTGTGAAATATATAGAGGAAGAAAAAATTCAAGTAGAACGCAAATCAAGAATAATTGGTGATGCGCTATTAGCCTATAACTAAGGCAAGCATCCAAATTGCAGCACATGAACAAACAGTAACATGGCAAGTTAAGGATCATCAAGGTCCTATGTCGTAGGTGTTTTACGTAAGTATCTGCACAGACAAACATAATCATGCAGTTTAAGAAAAGGATTCTGACAATTTGGCAGAGCATCAAATTTTGCTTCCTGTTTGTAGTCTGTTCATGTTCCTTTTACACTGAATGCTTGGTTGAAGAGTTAATCTTAAACTAAAAATAATTCTACATACAAATACCCTATTTCATAATGTTATAAACGTTGGATGAGTTCAGTGCAACCCTCTGTAAGTTCATTTTGTCATGCTTACCGAACCATAAGAAGTTTCTTGATCTCTTTGAATTCAATGTATCTAGAGTTGATCAGGTCGTGCATTTTTCACTCCTTAAATGTTCTGTGCTTTGGTTGTTCTTTGCATACTTGTGCTATGAGTAGGATTAGCTCATTCTCGCATCTTTATTTTTTTCTGATAGTTGCAACTGTGCACTCAGTATTGAAGATGATTGCAGAAAAACTAATTTGTGGGTATCTCTACTTTTTGCAGCATTTGACCGATTGATAGAACTGAAGAAGAAAACATGCACATAAGTTTAATTCCAGTAGAACTACAGGATCTATGGGATCTTTGGGGCCTAGAAACGCTTGTGCTATTGAGTTTCACCATTCAAGTGATCCTCACAGTGTATGGAAGCCGCAGAAAAGACATCCCAGGTATGTGGATAAGGATCACAGTTTGGTTGACCTATTTGCTGTCTGCTTCTCTTGCAAAAATCATCATAGGCAAGCTTACAGTAATACCTGAAAGTGATCCAAACGAACGCAACATCAAACGAGAACTCAAGGCATTGTTTGCGCCATTGCTTCTTGTGCACATTGGAAATCCAGATACCATAACTGCATACTCAATTGAAGATAACAGATTGGGACTGAGGCAGTTGCTCACCCTTGTTCTCCAAGTAGCTGTGGTGATTTGGATCATCATAAAGAGTTGGACACATTCAGAACTCTCTTTTCTCTACTTGCCATTACTTATATCTGGATTAATCAAGCATGGAGAAGTTGTTTGGGCTCTCAAGTCAGCACTTAGTAAAGGATCGGGCATAATCACAGTTCAAGAGATTGACCAAGAAGCTAACATGCCTGCTCTATTCAGATTCCTTCCTGAGGATATTCCAAACATAGAGTTGATTTTAAAGGCGTATTACCGGTTTATCTCATTGAAGCCTCATCGTGAGCACTGGCTCTACCAGCCTCTATATGAATCACTACCCCACATGTCTATAGATGAGTATGCTCCAGAAGACATCTTCCACATCACAGATGCAGAACTGAGCTTCATGTACGATGTGTTATACACCAAGGCACCTATAATCTACACCAAAGCAGGTTGTATTCTTCGTGTGCTAAGCTTTTTCCATTTGGTTATAACATTGTGTGGATTTTCAGTCATATTTAGACAAGACTTTTCACGCCATTGGAAAGCATGTTTTATAGTTGGGGTGTTAGGAGGAGCAGTTCTCATGGAGGTATACCAGATTGCACAATTGCCTTTCTCAGATTGGGCCATAATTCAAATGATCGAGCACCAAGATCTTCCATTTATGATTCCATGCCTGAGAATTCTTGGACCCAGAGCCAGGAACTGGAAAAGGTGGTCAAACACATTGCCACAGTTCAACTTGCTGAGCTTTTGCATTCATGACAAGCCAGTAAAGTGTGGAAAAATTCTAAAATTCCGGGGCATTGACATGGGGTTGAAAAAGAACAGGTGTAGGACACGCATAAATTTTCCCCAAGAATTGAAAGCTCTGATTGTGCAAGAAATGAAAGATATTGATGGAGACAGAAGACTAAAGCCTTTCAACCAAAGAGGGGAATGGTCACTAGGCAGGTATGGCTCCCACAACGATATCAAATGGAGTGTTAAACGAGACTTCGATAAGAGCATCACAATATGGCACATTGCAACAGATATATGCTACCATTCAGATGCTCAATGCAATGCTTCAAGCTCCAAAGTCCAAATGACCAGATTATTGTCCAATTACATGATGTACCTCCTAGCTATGCGTCCTCATATGTTGTCCACTACCACTGCCACGATAGTATTTCAACACGCCTGTGATAAACTGAAGGGTTTGTTGGCAGAGAAAGAACAATCTGTAAAAGATGAAAAAGAAGCATGTAGGATTCTGAGAATGGAAAGAGTTCCACAGTATTTACATTCAGATAGGAAATTAGAAACTGTTGTCACATCAAAATGGCACATGCTTAGGGATGCTCAGAGACTGGCTAGGAATTTGATGCTAAGGGAGAACAGATGGCATATCATGTGCAGCGTGTGGGTGGAGATGTTGTGTTATGCTGCAGCTAATTGCTCTATAGATTATCATTCTGAACAAATAAGGAGAGGTGGAGGTTTGATAACACATGTTTGGATTCTTTTAGCTCACAAAACTGATAAATATCACATCAGTGACTAGTAATACATGTACCTGGTTTGGTTTGTTATGAAAGTGGTCTATATTTTGTGACCATACGTAATAGAAGTTTGACAACAAAACTGTTCTCTTTGCTTTCGGTTTACGGTTTGTAACGTATTTGTACGCATTCTGATGGAATTTTAGAAAACAATATTCATTTATACAAAGTATAGCATGCAAAAACAACGTAATTATAAATAGTTGGTTATGAATGTTAATTTCGCATTCATCTCTACGAGCATAATGGGTTTTCTACCCACCTTCTAAGGAATTTTTAGAGATTACGTGTATAAATTTGCTTAATGAGATGGCAAATTTGTAGTACCCATGGCAAGTAAGGGCCTTTCAATGAACTATGTTTTAATTATTGTCCAACTCATCACATAGTCCATCTTATTACATTGCTTCAAATGATATGCAAAATATGTTTTCAACGTTGCCATTTAACATCGATTAAAGCTGAACCAATGTTGAATACACTTTTAATGTCGGTTGGTTAAAAAACGACGTTGAAAATTGAATGTTGGACACATTCTACGTCGGTTCTTAGTCAACCGACGTAGAAAGCACTTTCCACTCACCGACGTTGAATGTGTTTTCACCCAAAAATTCTCTTAAGTTAAAGAATTATCACTAACAGGATTCGAATACAGTATTTTAGAGTTGAAAGTCATACTCCAACCACTAAACTACTATAATTTTCCGATAATAGTTTACAAATTAATTATATTTATATACAAATAAATATATATCCACGTAAATATATATTTATTTATATATATTCTGGAAAGTGTTTTTATTTTTTTCACCAAAAATTTACTTAAGTTAGAGAATTGTCATTGATAAGATTTGAACCCAATATTTTAGAGTTGAAAGTTGATACTCCAACCACTAAACTACTGTAATTTTCTCGATAATAACTTACAAATAAATTATATTTATATACAAATAAATATATATCCGTGTAAATATATATTTATTTATATATATATATATTTTCTGGAAAATGTTTTTATTTTTTTTAGTCAAAAATTCACTTAAGTTAGAGAATTGTCACTGACAAGATTCAAATCCAAGTATTTTAGAGTTGAAAATTGATACTCCAACCACTAAAGTACTATAATTTTTTTATAATAATTTACAAATAAATTATATTTATATACAAATAAATATATATCCATGTAAATATATAAATATAGAATATATAAATACAAATATATTTATATATTTTGATATATTTATATATATAGTTATATATTTATATATTTATATGTTGGATGTGAGGGCGCGTTCGAGGGTGAAAGTGAGATTGACTCTCGCTTGAGTGAAAATACGTTAAAACTCACGGAAATTCACTCGCTCAAGCCTCGCTTGAGCGAAAATTAGTATTTTTTGTTTGAGCGAATGATGCGTTTCCCAAATTTATTTTATATCATTATATAAATAAATTATAAATATTATATTTTGTCATTAAATTACAAACTCATATAAAGAGACTCACTCACAAATTTGGCATCAAATTTTGAAAACCCACTCGACACACACTTTCACCTTCGAGCGTGCCCTCACATCCAACATATAAATATATAATTATATAAATATATCAAAATATATAAATATATTTGTATTTATATATTTATATATTTATATATTTACACGATATATATATATATATATATGTATATAAATATAATTTATTTGTAAGTTACTATCAAAAAATTCGAGTAGTTTAGTGGTTGGAGTATCAGCCTCCAATACTAAGGTACTAGGTTCGAATCCTGTCAGCTGACAAAAAATTAAAAACTACTCGAATTTTCAATTTGAAAGTTAGTACTTTCAACGTCGCCAAATTTTCATGTAATGATGAAAAATAGAATATATATGATAATGATATGATAAAATCATATTTCTAGTTATTAGAAAATGATAATCAAAATATTTATTTCTTAATTAATATTAATTCATAATATATTTAACCTTTTATTAAAATATGTATCATTAAACTATAACTATATGATAATACTAGAATTTTCAGCTACACATAATAATATCTAATAAAGATACATATCTTGCTATTAATCTTATTTTTTATAAAAAAAATTAATAAATAGAATAGTTCAAACACAAGAAAATGTTAATAAGAAACAATATGAAATTGATGTTATTTAGAACATATTTTTTAAAATAATATCTAATTTAACATATTAAAATTTTGAACTTACTCGTGTGAACTACATGTTTTAGTAAAGCTCAATGTTAAAATTTTAGTAGATCTACAAATATCTCTTTTGTGTCAACTAGAGTGAGAAAATTTTCAATTTCATCTCTAACAAACTAATACTTAATATTAAAATGCTTTGAATGAGAAAACCTATTCTTATTTTGAGAGAGATTTACAATAGTATTACCACAATAATATCAAATTTTTAAGCCACATGACCTAACAAATGGTCACAAAATTGTTTAAATGATAGAGATATAATGAGAGATTCTATTAGGAGAGGGTGGTTTGGACCTTTATAAACACCTCTTGATCAAAATCTTAAATTTTGACATGGTTAGAATGCCTGAGTTTATCTGAGTAAGTTGATCGATTAACACAATAAAAATTTGTGACTCTCGGTCAATCCCAAGTTGTTTGACAACTCTTGAAAATTGATTAGTCATTTTGAAAGGATATGAAAACCTCTTAAAATGAGTTTAATCATAATCATAAAATGTTGCTTGAGGAGGAATTTGACTCAGTGCACTACTAGGGGTGCCTCTTTTCAAAATATTATTTCCACTCATTTGTTCCTAGACTCAAAGTAAAAAGGAAATGGCTCAGTGGTCAAGTTTCTCTATGGCTCAATGGAATTGATTGATGTAGACATCATACCTTGATGGAATTAGTTGACGTGAACATTATACTCCATGGACATAACCAGAATGATGAAAACCAAAATCTAATTTACAAGAATTTTATACATTAGGTATCACATATGGACATAACCAGAATGATGAAAACCAAAATCTAATTTACAAGAGTTTTATATATCAGGTATCACATATTTCGTAGTTATTTCATAATTTGCTGATACATTTTGCTATCAATTAATTATGAATTAGTCATTAAAATAGTTGGTCTTCAAATAAAAGTAGTTAATTACATAGATATGTATTTTTTCTTAAATTTATAACAAATTTTGTCGTCATTCTGTCGCTAAGTTCCTCGCTAATTTAAGTGATGAAATTTTGTCTTTTCTTAGCTAATTGATCTCCCAAATTTGTAGCTAATTTTTTCCAATTGTTTTGTCGCTAACTCGTAGTCAATTTCTTATAATTTGTCTCTAACTAATTTATGGTTAATCCCTCGTAATTTGTTTGTAGCTGATTTAGAGTTAATTCCTCGCAATTTTTCTCTCGCTAATCGGTAACTAATTCCTTACAATTTTTCTCTCGCTAATCCGTAGCTAATCCTTCACAATTTTCCTTTCGCTAATTTGTAGCTAATTCTTCGTAATTTTTCTCTCGCTAATCCTTCACAATTTTGTTCTTGTTAATCCCTCGCAAATTTCAATTGATAATCCATAATTATCCCTGACAATTTATCTTTAGTTGATCTGTAGTTAATTACTCGCAATATTTCTCTCACAAATTTGTAACTAATCCCTCACAACTTTTCTCTCGTTAATTTATAGTTAATGGTTCACAATTTTTCCCTCACTAATCCGTAGGTAATCTTTCACAAATTTTCTTTCGTTAATCTGTAGCTAATCTCTCACAAATTTTCTGTCACTAATTTATAGCTAATTCTTCGCAATTTATTTTGTTAATTTGAAAATAATCTGCTAATTTATTATTATTGACATAATATTTCTACTAAAGTATCATCACAATATTATAATATCAAATATGTAGTATTTAAATTATTATGCATATTCTTGAAATTTTTAATATAAAATTATTGTTTAAACATAGTCAAAATGATGTTTCAAACAAAGAAAATAATATTTTAACTAGAAAGTTTTATATCAAGTAAAAAGTTTTATATCAACACAACTAAAAATAGAAACAAAGTTTTGATTCTTTAAAGTACATTTTCATCCTTGTTTCTTTAAGGTAGATAATAAATCTTTTTTAAAAGATTGTATTTCTTCTTGCATTTGTTGTTGCATAAGTGTCTACATTTCTGCTTGTGTCTTCATTTGTACTTGCATCAATGCTTGCATATCAGTTTGTACTTACAAATGTGTTTTTATCGACTCTTGCAAATTAGATATTTGTGTAGCTAAGGTAGTGATTTCTTCAGTAAGAGTTTTGATAAGATTTTGGGAAGACTGACCTTAAACTGATGAATATGAAATATGTGAAATACCAAGATCCAAACTGTGATGTATACCATAAATTCTACCTTTATTATTTTCACAAGCAGTCTTTATCCAAGTAACTAGGGCACTGGTCATGTGATATTTGAGGGAGTGAAAAGCTTGTTGTGCTTCCTTGCTCCACCGGAACCGATCTTTTCCAAGTAACAGTATAAGTGGGGCGACCACCTTGGCATACCCTTTAATGAAATGTCTATAATACCCGGTCAGGCCTAAGAATCCACATAGCTGTCGTGCGGACTGAGGGGTAGGCCATTGACGCATAGCTTTTAACTTGGCTGGATCAGCACACATTCCTTGGGACGTGACTATATGGCCCAGGTACTCAATTTGATTTTGGCCAAAGCGACACTTGCCTTTCTTCTCGAAGAAGGTATGTTGCCGCAAAGTTTGTAACACTGTGCAGAGATGTTCTTCGTGTTGTTCCCTGGTTTTACTATATACCAGTATATCGTCAAAGAATACAACTACAAACCTTCGGAGATAGGGTTAGAAAGTGGGATTCATGATGGACTGGAAGGTTGCAGGGGCGTTTGTTAACCCGAATGACATTACGAGGAATTTATAATGGTTATCATGGGTTCTAAATATTGTTTTGTGAATGTCTTGTTCCCGCATTCTTATTTAATGGTA